ACAACAATATTTGGAACATCCTACGATGCAGACGGGATGAAAATTATCAAACACACTGTTTCGTAGGTAAACTATACACAGAACCTACGCGCATGACCAAAATATCAGACACAACTTTTTCAAAAACATAACAAACCATTGATTTGGATGAATCAGCGGTTTTTGCAAGACACGTACGAAATATAAATATTTGCATAACATATTCGTAACTTCTAAAAAACAGTTTTTAAAGAGCAAGCGCTTTTCTAAAGCCCGTTCTCCCACAGCTCTCGCAATAAATAAATAAATAAATAAATAAATAAATAAATAATCTTGGATATCCTAGACAACAACCGTTTACTTCAAAATTCTGCTGCGAAGTATTTGAAGACAGTTTCGGGTGGTTATAATAATAGGTGTCTCAAAATATCAGACAGGTATAGCATGAAAACAGGCCTCTTTTCATTCATTCTTCTTTTTTTTTTAAATTACACTCCGTGATTGTGACATTTTTTCTGTGAGCAAAGAATTCAGCGTGTTATCAGGTGTGTCAATAGAGTGATGCAAGTTGGTTGAAAAACGGTGGTACAAAGTTAGCTCGGACGTCTTTAGTTAGCTCGAGCTTCGCGTCAGGATGACATCTTGACTCTTAATGACCTTGGGCCACCGTTACCACGTTTCCGTAGGTACCACGTAAAAAACGTAAATAAACTACAACATCCCATCTTTTCTAGCCCACGCGTACAACAGGGGAGCTTCAGATACGCCGGCACCCTTATCGGAATTCAACACAACGCTGTTATTACGTAGGGTAATGGTCTGCGTATAGAACCCTAAAAAAGATCATCCCCTTTTTTCCTCACTATTTTCCGTGTTCAGTTTCGCTCAGAAAGAATGGGACTTAATTGCACAGCTGGCTCTGAGACATTTGTAAGGACTTCGTTAGTATGCACGCAAACATTAGGTTCAAACGCGCACAGGCTGCCTTAGCAGGGCTGTTTTTCTTCGACCTAACATCCTGTTCAAGGAGCCCTTCAAGTGCGGTAATAAAGTTTAAATCCCGAAGATAGCGATGCTATCCATATGCCCTACGTGAGCAGATAACCATCGAAGCGCTTGAAAACAATCAAGGAGTTAAATATAAACGAAAAGAGAGAGAGAGAGAGAGAGAGAGAGTACACCAACGCCGCAGTGAAAGAAAAGAAGGAGGAAAAAAAACGCGAAACCAAACAGCTCGAGGAATGCAAGCACTTGCTGCATCTACGGCCCTTTTGAAAGCGGCTGCAGCTTTCTAAATATTGCTCAAGCGACCTCGGCTTGAGAGGGGGCCGACTCACCGTGGCGGCCATCTTAAAATACGCACCGTCGCGACTTAAGAAGCTCAAATATGAGGGAGAGGAAGGAAAATGTAGAAGTAAAGAGATACACGTATACACAGGGTCCGCGCATTAACGCGCAGTTAAAACACTCGGAAAAAGCAAGAAGAAGAGAAAAAAATTATTGGCTGGAATGCGCGCGCAGGTATGTGTACAACATCTTAAAAACGCCAGGCGTGGACGTGTGCTAGGACGATGCAATGACCGAATTAGCGCTGTATAAATATTACGTGAGCAGAACGTCGACTTCAACTGAGAAATAACCGAAACCACGTAAAAAAATTATTTCTTGGGCTAGGTACTAAAAAGAAAGCCAACTTGTTCTCGTAATAGTGAATTACTATTTCACGATATCAAAAACACAACCTTTATTACGAGAAGACTCTTGGTAAAAGAGAAAACGCGCAAGAAGAAAACGCTGGTGGAGACGCCACAGTTGATACCCCGCACCTATTGACTCATAGGATCTATCTATCTATCTATCTATCTATCTATCTATCTATCTATCTATCTATATGTCTATCTGTCTATCTATCTATCTATCTATCTATCTATATATATATATATATATATATATATATATATATATATATATATATATATATATATATATATATATGTCTATCTATCTATTTATTTATTTATCTATCCATCTATCTATCTTTCTAATGACCTGTATTCTAATTCAGCTGATGCTATCAAACTTGTGTCTTATCGCGCGCACCCCACGTCCTTATGTCTTATCTCCCACGTCTTTATATCAATCCGCATCATTATTTCTTACCTCACCTGCCTGTCAAACCACGCAAATAGCAACGTCGAGTGAATTTACATTTTTCCAACCATTCTAAATACGCTTTCTTGTATTAGCGCAATTTTCACTTAGTGAAGTATCACTACCAGCGCACAGCAGTAAAGTATTATTAATTATAATCATCGCATATTTCCGCGAACAAGTTTTTTCATGGTCACACGTAGAAAGAATGGGTGGCTGTCACTGGCCTTGTTAATTATGAAAGCAGTTCGCCGGGCTGATTCCAAGGGCGAACGTATCGAACCCCGAAGCGCACCACGAAAGCACGGACAATTTAGAATTGGTCTTTTTGGCGCGCCAATTAACGCTGGCTGTGGTCCAAAGAACGAGGCAGAGCCGACAGTTGATAACAAAACAAAAATCTATTATCAAATACGGCAGGACAATTAACACACAAAAATGGACACTCGGCAATAATACAATATAATACGCCATCAATCACAAGATACTTGAAACAACGGGCTACACAACAACAAGATGCACTAAAGACAACGGGCTCAAACAACACGCACTACTATGCGATTCCATGCATTGACTAACCAAGACACTTATAAACTAAAATGTTCGTCAAACGTATTTAGTCCAAAGTTCTTGGAACAAAGGTTGAATGCTTCTTTTCAAGGAAACACTCATTCAAAGTCCAGCACCGGCTGTCGTCCCGCTGCGTCCAAGGTTTCTCTTCCAGGAAACTCTCGCATCACCAAATGTCCGCACTTCAATAACAAAACTTCTTCGCCGGTAACACGTCGGTCATTCACGCGCTGCGACTCCAGAACACGTCTTCGCCCACGGGCGGTAGACACATACCCTTCTTCAGCTTGAAAAACAAGCCTTCACCCACCGGTGGAAAACCACTTCGTCTCTGCTAGGTCACTGTAGAACAAGCCTTCGCCTGGTGGCGGCAAACTCTCTTCAACTGCTCCAGCTCCTGCGACTTCCTCCGCTGCTGGCTTATATGCACTAGCCGCTGTGTTCCAGAAACTTCCAGGCGCTTCGTCGGTGCGCAGCAAAGCCAAAGCTGGGGATGAGGTGGAACCTTTCTCAAACTCTCCGTGACCCGTGACATAACCTAGCACCACCACGCCCTTTCGATATGTTTCTAGAAGTCGCTCGGCGATAGGTGCGAGGAGGTTGGTCGGCGTGGGGGCGACGTTTTTGGGAGAGAGAATAGGCACGCGCGGGGTGTCTTTTAATGCTTATTTTTACATGCGGAGCATGTTATACTAGGGGCTAGTCATGCGCCGACGCCGTCCGCAATCTCCCCTCCTCCTCTGCCAGCCATCTGTGCATCCCTTCCTCCTCTCAACACCGCGCGCGCCGCGCGACCTTTAGTTTTACGTGCGCCAGCTGTATGCTAACGCGCGCATGCGCAGGCCGGGGCCGGCGCTCACTATAAATAACCGAGTGTCGGGGTGCGCCGCTCTTCGTCGGTTGGTTTGTGCGGTCGCTCCACGTCCGATGTGGCTGGTGAAAATGTATGCTAACGAATCGCGTGCCGTCGTGGAGAAGTACGTCGACGAAGCCGTGGAAGAATACCTAAAACAACGACCGCAACGACGACACTTCGTGATAGTTGGCGACTTCAACGTGGACGTCATCAAGGATGATTGGGTGGTCGACTACATGGAGTCACGGGACTCTCTGAAACGAGCAACGCACGACGGCAAACATCATCCGACCACGGTTCGCTGGACGTGCTTCGACCACGTCTTTGCAAATTTCGACCTTCGACCGCTGCAACCAGACCCACTCACCCTTCACTTTACGGACCATAATGTCATCTTGCTCAAAATACCCAAAGCGTCTCATCAATAAACATTGTCTTTGGCAGCATACGTGCGTGCGTGTTCACTCGTGTTCACTCATAACACACGCGCATGTCGCAAATTACAAACCACATTTATCGCAGTTCAACATATGTACTCCGCATGCTAACCAGTGTTCCCACTCGGGAAACTGTGGTCATTTTTTTGTTTGTTTGCGCCGGCTTTTGTCGCATCTGTCCAGCGCCTCCATTTCACGTTTTCACGAATTTGGAGACACGCGCTTTGTTGAGAGTTCGTTTGTGACAGCGGCGGAAAAGTGGAGGGGCAGTAGCCGAAAATAATTTGATTAATTGAACATTTTATGGTAACGGCGGCATAAAAGCCGTTAAGAGTAAAGAATTATTGAATAAAATCTCCAGTTCTGCCGCTTCCTAAACGCATAAAAATTAAACGAAAGAAGGAGAAGCGCACACCTGCACTAGCAAATTGCGGTGGCAGTTGCACAAAACAGAAAAGCAATGTCAGACTAGTCTGTGCTCACACAGTACCCTCCACCTGCCCCTCCCCCCGGAAAAATAAAGACCGTGAGCACCAATGTCACTTGTTAAAATAATAAAATTTGAAGTAACGTGCGTCAAGACTCACAAACACACGCAGAGAGATCACCTACATTCCTATTCTCGAGGAGACGGGACTAGCATCGCGAAGCACGTAGTTGGGGCAAAATATGAAGTAATAATGGCAACAAGGGGGGTGGACGAAAAAAAAGAGAATATGAGAACGACGAGGGAAGAAAATAAAAGGAGAAGCAAGATACGAGGCTGAAAAATGGAAGGCAAGCGAGCCGCTGTGATGAGACGCCCCGAAGAACAGAAACGCGAGTAGAGAAAAAAAATTAAGATAAAGAAAAGAACGTTAAAATTTACAAAGTGGTGAGGGTGCGGGCCCCCCTTACTCTGTCACAGACCAATCATACGAGAGAGATGCGAGCGCTCGCTGCAAGGAGGCCGCGTTGGTGGTCGGGGCGAGCGCTTGTCAGAAGCCGGGCGATGGGCCAATCGCATTCCCAGATCGCCAAAGAACCCCCTCAAAACACGGGCCTCGTCGGTGGCTCCGCAGAAACGAGCGGCGCGCCGAGCCGAGAAGGGGGAGAGGGGATCTCCTCCGGCGGGCTTGCCTTAAGTGGGGCGCGCTTTCGAAGTCGGCCGCATCCACAGCAACGGATTGACTCCGGCACGCACGTTCTATAGTGGCTTCAACGACACTGTGCTAACTCGAAGCCATGGCAGGAATAGACTCCCGCGAAGGACAGAGCTTATTCATCAACTACCTCATCCTGATCGTGCTCCTGCTCATCTTATGGGTCCTGTACGTCGGAGTGAGTACACGTTGTTTGTTCTTGACATTTCTCTCGTCTCCGCACATTCACATCGGAATTTCACGCTAAGTTATGCCGTCCTGTCCCGTTCCACGACCGAATAGTATTAATTCGTTTCTCGCAAGTGAGCAAGTTTTGAAAATCATGTCATCAGTGCGCGACACACAGGTCTCGTTAGCCTGTCTCCCCGATAGTGAAGATTTCTTCCCGCACTTGGTCTCCATTGATGATTCCATTGAACTTATTCCAAACTCAGCAGTCTGAAAATAGCAAGAACGCTATACAAAACGTTTCGATTGGTGCATTATACGTAATTATACCCTGTAAGCTGTCACGTGTGAAGTTATAAACAGGATTGAGCGTTCTTATGCGTCGAGCTCGAATCGTTCAGCATGAGATGAGGTAAGAGAAGGCAATTTCTAGTGCGTCCTTGTGTCCTCAAATTGGGTAAGGGAGCCGCAGATAAAAATGACTCATAATTAATCAGGTCATAAGCTAAGTGACTACGCTAAGTGACCACATAGCAGGACGCTCACGTGACCTTGTGAGCCTGGCATAATACAGAACTGATGGTCGAATAAGCAGGGCTTGGCATTGCAGGGTCGTAACGTGCTATATTTGTGCCCTTTTCATCCCGAAACGAAAGATGTCACGCTTAGAAAAAGCAGCTTAGGCAATAAGATATGCTTTTGTCTCAATTTGACCTGCGACAAAAAAAGAAGCGTGGATACAACGCGACTTTCAGGAGATATGACTATTTTTGTACACGCAACTTCTGGTAACGCCCTAACATGGGAATTCATCAATGCAGAAATAACGAAAGTAATACGAGTTAACAGCGAATTCACCTTTCTTGTACCCAAACTGCATCATCGACTGCTTCAAATTAGTTTCGTAGAAAAAAGTGTAAGTGCAGAACCATAGTACGACACCAAGAATGTTTGAGCTAACGAATGGCTTCAAAGATAAACCTGCTTAATATGCGTCCATAGATAGGACACCTACGAAAGCGTAAACGACGCTATCCTACAAATAAACATTGTTTCAATGCCCTCTGGCCTGCAGCGGTTTCTAAATATCGCACGAAATGTGAAAATGAAAAATTGGTCGCGTGTCTACGCGCTTCGCAGCGAATGTCGTATAATTTTTTTGCCGGCCTTGTTTCGTGCATATCGCCGCATTATCAGTGCAGCCTAAGAAACACTGGATTCTTTAGAATTACGTATCTCTGCATTTTCTAGTAGAGGAACACACCGCCCAATACTTACGTATAAATGTTCCACCTCAGATATGCGCAATATTTGTTCTTTGATCGACAACGTTCGCAAGTATGAACGCAGGCACTAGTCTAAGATGGCTATGCGTTCAGCAAGTGCTTGAGTTTTGGCCAGGTGGCTGAATTGTGTGACAGACAGACAAACAAACAGAAAAAAAAACGACAGACAGACCAAAATTTCTGCGTTCAAGAATCCCAAGAAAGACTATTTAATAAACAGCAGCTGTATACTGCGCGCCAATCTAAATTGTTTTGCGTGTGTCTTTTCGGTGCTCGGATATGGCCTATTTATTTTATTAATACCAACAAGACATTTAGTAGAAGGTGCTTTCTGGCAGCCTTGAAAAAAAAATACCAGCCAGATAGTACAAGTACTCACAAATATGGTCTTCCTTTTTCTTATTCTGCAGTGAATGGCCAGATCTGACGCCATAGTATGTTATGTGCACCGGCGGGAGTGTACGTATCATAAAGGACGTGGCCTGCGCAACTGTTTAGTCGAACACTATCTTGTAGATGAATCAAAAATGTTGAACAAACATTCCGATGTCACGTACTTGTGGAACTGGTTACTGGTGAGTTTACACTGCCGCTTTAAATTAATAAAAAAGGACACGCCTCTCGTGACGTCATCACGTGACGTTTTGGTCGACAAATTTTTGCAGCACATTTTTACGATGAATCACGGTGTTTTCATAATGCCTGACGATGCAAAAGTGTGTGTAACGACGCCATGTTAAATACATAGACGTGAACGACTGCGATGACCCCACTATGTTGTGACACTTTGTTTAATACCAACATCCGTAACTATCTTGTCCATGATTAACTACGGTTTGATTAGCTGTTGACACGAAACCATCAATATCAATGAACACAAATAAAGTCTGCTTGCTTCTTCCCTTGGCGAGGAGACTAACGTGCTGCAGAACATCAGTTGAGAAACGCGGCTGGCATTTAAGACGAAGCAGGCAAAGACAATTGCAACGCCCTGTGGCAAACGCCAAACTAGAAAAAAAATTCCCGACAAGCGACCATAATGAAATAAAAGAGAAATATAGCCATCAGTATTCTGTAATAACGCGTTATTCGTCAATCGAAGATGCACCGTGAAAATGCAGCCTGATCAGTTACGAACTGCGGTTAAGCAAACGGCTATGGCTGGTGTTGCTACGCCAGCCAAGTGTCTGCACTCTGTATTCTGAGTATTGCAGCATTTATTAAAAATGCAATAAGTAATCACTACTATTTTTTTTCTAATTGCCGCGAGCGCTTGGGCACATCCCACAGAATGGCCGCTTCCTGTATAGGCGGCTTCGTCTTAGACGGGCGCTGCCATCTTGGCACTTTCATACGTGAACGCTTTCTTTGTTTTGCGTGTCGTAACTCCGAGTTACCGAGGCCACTAAACGCCTGTTGTTCCCGTACCCTCTTTCCCGTGCTTAGAAGTATACTGATCATGACATGTGGCGAGAAGGCAGGGTAACAGCTGGTCATTTAGAATAACGCACTAGATTCTAAGACACAGGAAACACGCCATGTGGAGGTAGAGTTTAGGTAGGCAAATGAGGTTGAGAAGTTTGCGGGGATATCGACGTTGCCGTAGCAAGCCCATGGCTAGAGCTTTCATAGAAACATGGAAAAAGCAGACACCTCTACATGCGACTACTGCGGAGCTGAAGAGACCATTGAACACGTCTTGTGCAGCTGCGCTTGCTATGACACACAGCAATGCCAGCTCCGGATGGTTTTGAATCAACTGGACTCTAGACCATTCTGTGTGCAGAATATTTTGAGACCTTGGGTATCTGCCTCAGTTGCGCACAAAGCGACTTAAGTACTCCTACTTTACTTAAAGACAACAAACCTGAGTGACCGCCTGTAGACTGTGTGTGCTCCCACGAGTGTGCTCGTGATTGTGTACCTTTTAACTCTCTGCAACCTCTTTTCTCCCCTTTATCCCTTCCCCAGTGCAGGGTAGCAAACCGGATGTGCGTCTGGTTAACATCCCTGCCTTTCCTTGCATCTTTATCTCTCTCTCTCTCTCTCTCTGTAAAATGCCTTGACCCTGCAGTGGGCGTAGTCATGCTGATTATTATTATAACATGGTAGCGTTTATTTGGCTACTACAGACACAAAACGGCAACGTTAAAAAGGCCAAGATGGCGGCCCTAAAAAGTTAACCGTAAGATAGCCTACGATACGCCGCGGTCGCGGGTAGGAAGCTTCAGGCTTCCGCGAAAGCCACGCCTTCAACCTTGCATAACTCTCGATACCCGTGCTAACCACGTCACCTTTGTCTCCAGGGCGACGCACGCGGCCACGGCCGACACTGGACCCGTCCCTCTCCCACCCTCTAGGAATCCCGTACACCCATTTGCCCCACGAGAACTTGGACCCGCGTAGCGGTATACACGAGGAGGCAGTTTTTTTCGCTGGTAGTACAGCCTTTCCGTGTAGCACGGAGCCAAAAAGTGCTCCGACCAAGAGTAAGTTTTTCTTTTCTTTCGAGACTACCCAGCAGCTTCGCTTGTATCTCATACAAAGCACGCCACAAAGTCTGGTTGCTATGGTGACTGAACGAACAGTACCTACGGAAGCCGCTTCTACTTTACTGCATTTCTAAATGAGCATAAGAAACGGGAATGTCGGAGGGGGGGGGGGGATGCAGCGAGCTTTTACTTATATACTATAACGTGCTAACATCGATTATTTGGCTTACAACTTCAGCTTACTTCGATGCGATGGCATACTAACATTCCTTATTTGGCTGATTTCACTAGAGGGGGAGTAACAGGTACATCGAACACGTAGCCGGCTAGCCAAAAGCCCTGCAGGACGATGCAATGAAGTTGCAATGAAACCCTGCAGGACAATGCAATGACAGTCAACGTGTAAAACAAGATGGAATTTTAACCAAAATTTCTATTCTGAATAACATCGCAGCATGCCTTGAAATTGATGGAGCATTGATTTTCACTTTTTCCCATCACCATTACTGACACGACTGAGATATTATTTGAGCGAAAGTGGCCACAAGCGCTGTAAACGTTAATGTGTTTTTTTCTTATTTTTATCTGAATTTTAATTAGTCAAACGCAAAAAGACGACTCAAGCTCTGGTTTGCCATAAAGCTTTAATAAAGGTGAATCCTGAAAAAAAAATGATGTTCCTACGTGAAAGACTTCCTGTAGTGCACCACCCTCAGTACGCCCGCCTACATTATAGAAAAAAAAAACAATAAGAAACATACACTGACGGTTTAAACGCACCTAGCGTACATTTTATTTTTCCTCATACAACTCTAAGAAAGAGTTTCTGAAGAAACTTCTTGTTGTTGTGAACAAATTTCATTGCCAAAAAGAAAAACGCTACACATGCGCGTTATGGTCTAATGAAGGCACTACATGAATTGTCCATTTTGCCACAGTACAATGGTCTTCAATTCAACCAAGATTATCAGTCAAGGGTTCCCAGAAACGTCTTCTAAGAACGCTTTGTCAACTCGCACTTACTGACCAACTCACGCGCCTTCTTGACGTCAGCCGCAAGACATGGGTGACGTCACGACTTGGCAACTGACACCATGCCTTGGAACGCTGCCTTGTGCATTTTGTAACTGGCTTCATAGGCCTTATTACTGACAGCTATATTTTTAGAAATAAGGCTTGCATGTCTTCACTTTTCTGTCCAGAGTGATTTTTAATACCCTATAAACCTCATTCTGCTCTGGTATCTGTTTTCAAGTGCCATATAACACATGTTTCACATACATGTCCATACATGTCTTCTGAAATGAATCTCAATACCCGCAGTGAGTGGGATCTCACACTCACCTTCAATGCTCACGAAATAGAAACCTGTTGCAACACCAACAGCTATCCCGTCGGTGAGCGAAGACTGAAATAGGCTATTGGCAACAGCCAGCCATTTTTTTTTTCCACCGGTTACTTTTCCAATATTTTCTTGATATTTGCTCGTCGAATCGGGTCAATGACAGGACCGTTGGCATAGGTGCATGAAGTTCTTCTTAAGTATTGTGTCGTAACTCACGCATTTACTTTTAGTCAACTCGAAATGAAAGTTTATTGCACTAAGAACACTTCAGGTGAGTGTAAAAGGAACAAGATTGTTCTAAAATCTTACTTTCCCGCAAAATCACTCAGGTCTTCGTTTAGTGACGCGAAGACACCTGTACTAATGTTTTGATGGCACGTTCCGTGGAAGAGATAGCATTGCTAGGAGCTACACTTAAATTTGATGTCGATGAGGCCAGCACTATAAGAACCTCAGAAATAAGAACTAATAACTACGATCTCAAGGAAGGTAAAACGTGTGTGAACCACAGGTAACCTTTGTAACCTCTAAACTTTTGTTTTATGGGCCAACGTGCACTATAGCGTGCGCATATTCGGAAAAGGTGCCCACACTGCACCGAACGACCACCATGCACTCGCACGTGGCAGCCTGTAAAGCGTGGTTTGCCTGTTAGGACATTACAACATACAGGCGAAGCCAACTTCTCAATAACGAGATCTACGCGAATTAGTTATTCGGTAAGAGTGTTTTGCACGTGTTAATTACTTCACGAAAGCGGTGTACGGTTAACCTTACTTTTATTGGATAGCATGTCTTTACGATGTGCTTTAGCCTTACGACTGCAGTATTAACTATCACAAAAAAAGCAACTGCAGACGATTTCTACTCCCGTGAATTCGTTTACAGAGACACCATCGCTGCTGTCCCCCTCCGCTCCCTGGTGCGCATAAATTACGTGGTCGATATTCTGCACTCAATATAAATTTATTCGAAAGCAGACCAACTTAGCGTAACGCATATCATTATTGCTTCGAAATTAACAACCAATTTGTATATATCACTCTACTTAATAATATACGAATTGCGTCCTAAGCAGTCAAATCTTAAAAATTTCCACATAACGTGCTCGAACATATGCAGGTTTCAATGCTGCGACATCTGCTATCTATCTTCTTTCTTAAATGCAATAAATTTTGTTATAATTGACTTGAACTCTATCTCAGCAAAAGCATCTATGCGCTAGACATTTATTTGTATATGAAAATGAGAGTTGGTCCCAACCTGATTTCTAATAAATCCTTGATTATTTTGATCAGCGGATCATTTGTATAACCAGCGCATTTAACCACACTGGACTGCTTGCTTTCTCGGCTTACTGGAATAAACAATACGCGCGTCCACCACAGATAAATGACGAGACTAAAGAAAGAGACTTTTTTTTGTCTCGCCTTTCTTCAATAGTGCTTTAGCGTTTTGTATATTACAGTGAGCGTATACCAACTAGCCGAATAACAAGGATTACTCGGCTGTTTACAAACCCGTCACGATGGTATAGTGGCTAAAGTACTCGGGTGCTGACCCGCAGGTCGCGGGATCGAATCCCGGTCATGGCGGCTGCCTTTCTGATGGAGACGAAAATGATAGAGGCCCGCGTGCTCAGATTTGGGTGCACGGTTAAAAGCACCACGTGGTCGAAATTTCCGGAGCCCTCCACTACAACGTCTCTCATATTCGTATGGTGGTTTTGGGTCATTAAACCACGAGAATTATTATGATTAATATTGTCTGTCTACAAAACGGCAGAACGAGGAAGCTTGTAATAAAAAAAAATCCGTAAACGGGGGTAGTGTACTCGAGCTGAAGTTTCGACCTGGGGACTTGTATTCCTCGAGGCTAGAGTTAATTTCCTTAGCGTGTATACGTCTAGTAGCCTCTACTCCAATCTCAACAAAGCAGGGGGAGGGGGCAACAGTGAATGCCTCATCCCCCCTTCCCACTCCACTGTAAGCAGGGGAGGCGTCGGGACGAACTGCGTGAGTAAAATGGAACAGTTATTTCGTGAATAAAAAGAAACCAAGGAAGCGAGGGGAGGGGGGGGAATGGAATAGATGTTTCCCTGATTCGGGGCTGGGAAAAGAAGCGCCACCTAACACTGGCTGTCTATGCGTTTCGATGGGAACAAACAAGCGGAGAAACGATGCCCCACCACCACTCTGAAGCTGCAAGGAAACGTGTGAACGAGGTGTAAATGGCTACATGGGCTCTTCAGTGATGTTCAACAAAATCATAACTCATGCCTAGACGTGTTACTCGTAAACCGTTTCGCGGTCAACGCAGTTTCCGTTACACGTGCACAATAAATACACGCAACATCGCGTCACACCAGGTGGTCACACTCGGTCTTCGCATCGCGACCCAAAACAAACAAAAAAAGTCAAACATAGTGAGGCGCCCCATTCTTTCGTTAGAAGAGCTCATTGATAATCGACGCTGTGGCTACAACGGGTTTGAAATCTACCCATACCGCACTGTTACAAGCTAGCTTCTTGCCTTTATAGAGCAAGGCGTCATCGATCCCAAATCTTTCATCGTTTTGCGCCAAACACCTGGCCGACGCGTCCAAGGAATGGGCACCTACACAGTCCTGCGCTAAAGCAAAAAAAAAAATCCTGGATGCACACGCGCGCTCACTGAACCTTTGAAAACCCAAACAAGCAACGGTTGGGAAATGGGGCTATTGCTGGTCGCGTTACGGGAGGCCCAAGAACGCCGGGCCCGCGTTCTCAAAATAAGCACACACCCCCGTCCTGCACCCCTCTCTCTTCTCGTCGTCTCCCATCCATGCACTGGCGTCGTCGCGGAGAAGGGCGCCGCGCTTCGCGAAGCTCATCTGTCAGGCCGCGAACAGGCGAGGGGCGAACAGGAACGTCGAGGTCACGCTCAGGGCAAAATAAGACGGTGCACGTCGCTTCGCCCGCCTTGTCGTCTTCTGTTCGCGGAGCAGCGACGTTCGGAGCCGGCCTGATTCTTTTAGATGCGGAGCATCTTATACTCGCGCCTTGTAGTGCGCCGTCCGCGCCGTCCGCGCCATCCGCACCGCTTCTCGAACATTCGACAGCTGACGCGCGCGCATGCGCCGTCGCGCCGTCGCCCACTCTTCCACCATCTGTGCATCCCTTCCTCCTCTACACACCGCGCGCGCTTCACTCCTCCACCATCTGTGCACCCTTCCTCCTCTACACACCGCGTTCGACATCTACAATTCTCCTGATTCTCCAGTGGACGCGCATGTGGCGTCGCGCTTCGAGAACATTCAACAGCTGACAGTGCATGCGCCGTCGTGCTGTATATATACTCAGGTCGGCGCTCGCTCGCTCAGTTGCCGCTCGTCGGTTGGTTTGTACGGCGCGTCGACGTCCAAGGTCGCGGTGAAATGAATTCCAACGAATCCACAAACACAATGATCGACGTCCCTTCGACCAGCGCCGCCCTTTCGCATACGTGTGTACGTGTTCACTCATTTAACACCCCCTCCTACAACCACGTTAACCAATTTAGCCATCGACCCAAGTAAGTCGCAATTTAACACCCCATTTCACAACCACGTTAACCAATTTAGCCATCGACCCAAGTAAGTCGCACTTTAACACCCCGTTAACCAATTATATGG